TCCTTCACATGGGCTCCGCCCAACACGAAGTCAGCCCGAAGGCTCACTCCGCTACTCCCACCTACCTGGAAGGATCAAGTCTGGGTCCCCGTCGCGTCCACCGCGGACCGACGTAGTCCCGGGCGTGGTCCTCGTCCATGAGTCCCTCGCTAGCAGCCCCATCTCACTTTTGCCTCTCCGTCCAAGTCGGGCAACATGGCCATTCCCCTCATCCAGGGTTCTCACGATGGGGAATGAGGAGGAAGAATCCCCCCCCCCTTTATAGGGCGTCGACTCGCAGCTACTGCCGTAGGCTACAGACATCGTCAATGTCGACCCAGATGTCACGCCGATATTAATGCAGCCTAACAGGAAGAAGTGGGAGTGGCAGATATTACAAGAATGGCAGTCGCCAACGACGATAAGTCAGCGCCCGCATTCATGGGAGTGGGAAATCAAATTGCCTGGTCGCGATGGAGACGTCTCGCCGGAGAGGTTCTTAGAAGGCGAAGCGCGATATGAAATTTTGGAGCGGCTCGGCAAGGGTACTTTCGGTGAGGTATGCGCAGCTCGAGATCTGAAACTTCACATGGATGTGGCCATTAAACGCATCAGCGATGCTTTTGCCGGTTACACGTGCGCTAAACGAACACTGCGCGAGGTTCGCATTTTGCGCCTCCTCGATGCCCATGAAAATCTCATCAAGATGCGTACCATCCTCCCCATCAGCATGCTGTGGGGCCTTTTTTGCTAGCTATTATAAATAATTATGGCTTGTGCATAGGTCGACACTCGCCAACTGATGTTTATGTTGTTTTTGAACTCATGGACACTGACCTCTCTCGGGTGATCGAGTCCTCCCAGCATCTTGGGGATGAACACATCAAGTTTTTTATGTACCAACTTTTGAGCGCTGTCCACTTCCTACATACTGCTGGCATTGCACACCGTGATATCAAGCCTCGAAATATGCTTGTAAATGCTGACTGCACCCTGAAAATTTGTGACTTCGGACTTGCAAGGCTGTGCACGCCTGATCTTGTTGTAGACGGTGGTATGACCGATTATGTCGCCACGCGTTGGTATCGCGCTCCCGA